CCCCCCCCCCACAGTGGAAGACGCCAAGTCAAACACTGTTGCTAGGCAGCAGTCGTCAGTTGCTAGGCGATGGCAAAGGGGCTGGAAGAGTAAGAGTGAGGAGAGGCGGAACATGACGGGAAGAAAGGAATGCACAGCGAGTCCTCTGGGTTTGAACAGAAGAGCGGCCATCGATGTAAAGTTCGTCCGGAGGGTGGTGCCAGAGGGAAGATGGAGCGCTTGCAGATATTATTGTATTATAGGCGAAGATATTTTATGTGCACAAGTTGTTGTTTTGACCTGACAGAGATGCTAGAGCAAAGGCCAGTGGGTCGTCAGGATTCGTCAACATAAATATCAGCAGATTTCATATCAATGCAGCTGGTGGAACGCGTTCCTCTGGACGGATCAATAGAAAACCTCGTGACAATGCGACTGACATTCATTACCTGCTGCATGTGAGTCAACAACATACACTGAATAAATAGCAATTTACTCACAATGTGGCCAAATGACATGATCTGAGCTGGTGACGGCTGAACCATGAAGGAGAGGTGACTGCTGAGGAAAACGAGTTCTGTGAGGCTCAGTCTCTCTGTGGGTTGATGATGGCAAACATGGCCGCCAGAGTTAAGAGGCCTGATGACCACTCGGGGTCAACAAATCAATTATGTCGCCAGATTAGATTCGTAAAGTGTTTTGAGGGAAGAGTTTGATCACTTAAAACCACAATAACACACACACACACGTAGGTTGTGTTTGAATAACATGAGGATAATTGCTTTTATCTAAAGCGATCCCTAAAACCACACCAGGATTCTTCCCTCTTCTTGAAGCTGTTTCACTATGTTGAACCTCGCGGCGGTAAACAGCAGTTACTTCAAAGTGTCTAACAACCATATGCTACTATCTGCGCTCCTTGTTTTTATTTTTGGACACTAAAAGGGATGGTTTGGTGTGTTGAAGTGGGGTTGTATGAGGTATTTATCCATAGTCAGTCTTTCTTTTAGGTGGCTAACATATGTTGTGATGTTGCCCTCGTCCACACCAGTACACTGCTTTACTACCGTGCCGGTAGTCCCGTCTGTTTCTCCAAACTGGGTGAGTGCCAGCCGTCTTTACTGTCGGTAAAACACTGACTATGGATAAGTTCCCCTTACAACCCCACTTCTAAACACCTGAACTATCCCTTTAACAAGACGTCGTCTTAGCCATATCTAATCTGACGACTGAAGGTCATGTAAGTGGTGTCTTTATCCCCTTCAGGTGTATGACACTCATCCAAAATTATGATCCGCTTGTGTGGCTGTGGTGTGTTCTCAAACCAACATTAGCTAAAGAAAAAAAAAAACGCTCAGCAAACAGCAAAACTTTTCAGTAAGGTGTTTATCTGTTTTATGACTCACACATAATTTATTCATGCATACCTAATTAACATTTCTGCAAAGTAACCCCCCCGTCCTCTCTCTCTCACATGCTCCCCTGAGGTAGTGTGTGTGTGTGTGTGTGTGTGTGTGCGTGTGTATAATGAACACAGTGGTTGGCAGTAATTGAAATCTCTGCTTCTCCACTGGGGGGAAGCCCTCGGTAATTAAACACAAAGCGACAGAACGAGCAGGGGAGACAAAGACAGGCATGGTGACGGTGTGAAAAAGAAACAAACCGTTGGTTTAGCTATTGTCACTGAACGCACCATCCTTGGCCACTTTCAGCCACACGGTGTCACCGCCATCTAGTGGCTTTATGGTTCATCGACTCACCAAGAAGGCAGACACCACATCCTGCATGTGTCGCACACTGATGATTGTTCACTTACAGCACTTACATTCAGAAAGTCAGTTAAAAGACTAGAGTATTTGTTTTTGTCTTAAGATCAAATACATATTAATGTAGCTTTGCTTAATTTTTGGGACTATTTCAGAGAAGCCAGAGAGTAGCAACATCATCAAAACACTACCTGCATACATGCGTTACAATGTGATATAATATAGTGAGTTTTTGTGTTTTTGTGCTTGTGTGTGTGCGTGCAGCTCCAGCGGGCTCCACCGAAAATGAGGAGCGCGTGTTCCGGCAGCGGATGGGACCCAGGAAGCGCCAGGGGGCCGTCCGCCGGAGGGTCCACCAGGTCAACGGACACAAGTTCATGGCCACCTTCCTGAGGCAGCCCACCTACTGCTCCCACTGCAGGGACTTCATCTGGTCAGGACCAACACTCTTGTGATAACGAATATGTGTGAATACGTGAAACACACTGAGCATCGCACACCTTTTATTTTCTTTGTCAAAATGAGACTAAAGGAAAATAACTGTTGGAAAAGCTACACACCGACACATAGTGTACAGACACCCAGATGATGAGTGTATTTACATGCACTTGAGAGCTAGTGACTCTCATTCTGTAAACCAATAATTTGTATTTCAATAACCAGGTTAACCTGGTTATCACACCTATAATCTGCAAGATGTATTTGCCATACAGATGCTTAACAAGGTGTTTTAATAACAGTTCATGTCCATGATGAAGTTTTAAAACAGGGAACTATTGTGGCAGAAGTGCATACTCACTCAAAAGAGATGATAATTAGCATTGCGGCCTTGAATCCCCCAAAAAATAAGTCCAACTAAAACTATTATGATTCTAGATATATATTTTTGTACAGCTAAATTACAGTCTGTTTGTAAAGTGAACAACATGCACAAGCAGAAAGCAGAACCTGCTCTATGTCATCCCAAAGGCTCCGACATACATAAAGAAAGAACAACACTCCTCAGGCTGCAGCATCAAATATCTGTATCGCTCCTGAAAAATGCGAGAAGGATGCGGGTAAACGCAGGTTTTATATAAGAGACATATTTCTCCCATGAACCTGCCCTCTTGTTTACATGTAAACACAGTGAACGCTGTGAAGTGTAGAGTGATAAACAAAGCCACCTGTGTTTGCTTCCATCCAGACAAACTGCGATAGGAAACCTTTACATGGAATCATGTGGCCTCGGGGCTCTTTATACTCTGAAATGTTTGACGCGGAATCAGGATAAACCAATAAAACAATTTTTTTTTGCAGGTATTGATCAATAGTTGTAGATTAGCATTTGCAAAGTCAACATCAACTCAAAAGCACAAAGGATTGAACCCTAGGGTCATTGATAATGAATACAACACATTTGTTGTATATCTCTTCTTGTATCCCTTCCTAACTAGGACACAAAACACAGCTCGAAAAGGCTTTTATACATACAGTCTGGGTAACAGTTTTGTCTGATTCATGCTGAGTCAGCTTTGTGTTCTCACACACTTCTGTCTCTCTGACCTGCAGGGGCGTGTTAGGAAAGCAGGGCTACCAGTGTCAAGGTAGGATGGTGTCTTTACATTCCTGTCGTCCAACGTGTCTGAATCTTAACTAGTGTTTGTCGAGATCATCAACTAGAGGCACTTAAAGGATTTCCTTATAAACATGTAACGCATGTCTGTTGTGTGTGTTCCTCCTGCAGTGTGCACCTGTGTGGTCCACAAGCGCTGCCATGAGCTGATCATCACCAAGTGTGCAGGGATGAAGAAGCAGGAGGACACAGTGGAGGAGGTACTCATCTACAACCACAGGCTGCTTTGAGGCTTCACCTCAGACAGTCGCTACAGTTAAATGCTACTTTTCTGTCTCAATGAAATCAATTGGAGATACTCCAGCTTGAAAGATCAATTGACTCACTGTCCTTTTGTGGCCCTTACAGCCAGTCGGTTCTCAGAGGTTCAGCGTCAACGTGCCGCACAAGTTCAGCATCCACAACTTTAAAGTTCTCACCTTCTGCGACCACTGTGGGTCTCTGCTCTGGGGTCTGCTGCGACAGGGACTCCAGTGTAAAGGTGTGTCAGCTTGTTGTTAGTTAAAGTACTCATCTCTTTATCAAACCTATAACGCAGTTTACTTGACCTGGAGTATATCATTCATATAGAGACTCCTTGGAGTGTTTTGTTCTGATTTTGGACATGCTAACCGTCTTTGTTTGTGTGTGTTTTAGTGTGTAAAGTGAATGTGCACAGGCGCTGTGAGAGTAACGTAGCTCCTAACTGTGGCGTGGACGCCAGAGGAATCGCTAAAGTCCTCGCTGACCTCGGAGTCACACCGGACAAGATCTCCAACAGCGCCCAGAGACGGAAAAAGGTGAGTCATCTCATCCACGAGTTTTAGAATTAAAGTCAACTGGCTGTTGAAAAGTCCACAAAAGCAGAGATGAAATCAAGAGGAATAAGAGCATTTGACAAAATGTCTTTAAACAGCTCCCTCAGGGTCAGGACCCCCAGCAGACGCTATCAGGGACGCCCAAGACAGAAGACGACCGCTCAAGGTCCGCCCCCACCTCACCATGTGACCAAGGTAGTAGAAGTCCTCACCGTCACACATAGACTCTTAACCAAAGCAAATGAACGAACGCACCAGAACTTTTGTGTTATTTTCGTTTCCGTCCAGACGTAAAGGAGCTGGAGAACATCCGGAAGGCTCTGTCGTTCGACCACCGCGGAAAGGAGCACAAAACGAAACCCCTGTCCTCCCCCTCATCTGCTGCCGCGGTGCCGGGGGACGGTCACGGCGGCGGAGGGGGCAGCGTCGGAGAGGAGGGTGAAGGAGGCCGGGAGAATGGAGAGGCCAAAGGTCACATCGCGCCTGAAATCAAGAGGATGAATTTGCCCGACTTTGTGTTCATCAAAGTTCTGGGAAAAGGAAGCTTCGGAAAGGTGAGCATCAGTTTGTGTTTTTGTCTGCTGTCTCCCTCTCTCATTCCTTTCCTCCTTCACTCTGCTACCTGATGCTTTATGTGAGTACAAAAAAACATCATCGAAAACAGGAGCAAATCAGTCGAGAGGGAGAAAAGCAGGACGAGGAGGAAGATAGGAGAAGAGATGGGAGAGAAAATATTCCCTTTGAATGTCATGTTCGTGGTTCCAGCTGTGTCGTGACTGTGTCATGTGACCAGGTGATGCTGGCGGAGCTGAAAGGCAGCGACGAGGTTTACGCCGTCAAAGTGCTGAAGAAAGACGTGATCCTGCAGGACGACGACGTGGACTGCACTCTGACGGAGAAACGCATCCTGGCTCTGGCCAGAAAGCACCCGTACCTGACACAGCTCTTCTGCTGCTTCCAGACTAAAGTAGGAACACACACACACACACACACACACACACACACACAAACGAATTTACGTGCAGACATGCTTTGCACCTCCAGGGGGCACCATCAGACCACATTTACTGTATATCTACAGACTCCAGTTGTTGTGACTTTCACTTTCATTTAAACTGTGTTTCCACCCTGGGGGTTGAGTCCCATGATGAATCTGATGGGCCACCACATGATTTAAGGGATATGAAAGAAAAACATATGCAACACAAATTAATTTTCTTTTTTTTTTTGATGTTTAGAACCTGACACTGACCTGACCTGACCTCAGGCCTCTAAAAATCCTTCAAATGAAACAATATTAGAGGGGAAAACTACTCACACCTGATGTTCAAACTAAGTTGTGGACCTGTAGACAGATTCAAGGGGTCTGCAGCCAAATGTAAGAAGTCAGGTCACTTCACATGTCAAACACTGTATGTCACAAACTGCCAAACTTCCAATGGCTTGTTTGAAAAAGAGAATCGCAGCATTATCCTGCACACAACTTCCTATCACAGTAACTATAAGAGAACTATAATCAGGGAACCGATCTGTAATTCACTTCTCAGAGAATATCTCAACTTCTCATTACGTTCAAGGACAAACTGTCCTCACTTCAGCATCCCTGCTCTATACCTGTTGATTGCATGCTGGGAATTCAGCTCAATGTTTTGAGACTGGGAACAGTTTCCAGAGAGCGTTTAATCAACTTTAACACCTGAGTCATTAGTAAAGCGTCTGCCAACAGCCCAGAGGCTGAGCTTTACTTCCCCATCACTTCCGTCTCTCACATTCACACTCTGCTCCCTCTCTCATCGTCTCTTCTCGGCTAATTTGTCCATCCATACGGTAAGTGGACGCTGACAGACGGACACACAAAGGGCACCCGTGGGTGGGACGCCGCTAACGTTGACCGCTCCTCCAGAGCGCTGTATTTTTTGTTTATCGTTTGTTGCATAAGTGTTCCTGTCGCTAAACATATAGAGGCTCTGTACATGTACTCCACACAGGCGTGTACTTTTTTTCCAGTTTGATGACTTGCTGAAGGAACAGGTGACATGTTGTGCTGATGAGTCCTTTCGCCGCAGCTTGGGCATGACGCTGCGCAGGTGATAACTGTTATCAGACCAGCCTCAACAAAACACGGACTGCACAAGCCCGAACATCTAAGAATGAATGTTTGCTTTTGCCAAGAGTAATGGGCGCAACGCTGAGGTTTAGAGTTTAGATGAAGAGTTCAGAGAAGTTTCCACAAATTCATCCATCACAGTCACAGAGTTCAGCTCAACGCAATGATATCTTTCATAAACTAAAGAAAACAAAGAATATGATAAAAGGCATATATCCAACAAATAAAAAAGTTCATACATGGTTAACTCAGAATCTTGTTAGTTTATATATAACACATTATTTATAAAAAGGATTATGAATAAAAAGAAACAATTGAACATATTATAAACCGAAGATTTTCATTTTATCGTACCCAATAATCTGTCCTGCATTTGTTCAACAATAGCTTTTCAGTGAACTTTTTCTTGGTAATTGCAGCTCATAATTTAGTTTTGATTGTAACGGGTGGAGTTCACTTTTCCCACACAGGAGTCACAGTTCGTACAGGACTTGATGTGATATAGAAAAGCTTGTGTATGCGTGTATTTGCACGCCCAGTAACGGGCATCGCCATATTAGCCTGGACCTAGATCTTAATCATGATAACTTGAAGATGTGTCACAAAGGAAATCTGTCTGAAAATCTTGTTATTTGTGGTTCGTTGAATGGAGGATTGTTGCCGAAACCTCATCGGCAACAATCTTATGATGCAGTCGACCGTTGGCATTTCTTGTTTGAAGGCAGTGAAACATTCTGACGAGGCCTGATACATTCTAGGCTGGTGTACCCAGTGATGGAAAGTCTTCTGTGGTGGAGCAGTAGGAGTCCAACATGTCAGGCAGGAGGAGTTTTGTGAGCTGCATCTTGTGTTTATTTTCTCAGACTGTTCTGGAAAACCTGAGACTACCGATGGCGTCTCCAGTTCAATTTATTTATTCCTGTTATTTCCTCCAAAGCAAACACAAACATGTGTACGGACCAGAGAGAGAGAGACAGACAGTAACAGGCGGTGAGACAGTGTTCTCAATCTACAATTTTGTTGTTTTTCCCATCATTATTTTTGCTTTGATTTATTCTATTTTGTCAGGCTGTCTGACGCATTAATGGACACACACACACACACACACACACACAGTTTGGCAGTGAGCGGTGATTGTGTCCTTGGACAAAACAAAGGGACTGTGGCTCTTATGTAACTGCTTTGATCCTTGATACGATGTGTATTCCATATGCTGTTTGACCCCACCCTCATCAACCTCATCACCCTCATCACCCTCATCACCCTCCTCTCCCTCCTCTCTCCACCCGACTCTTCTTGGAACACACGCTCGATGCTCTGGATTCGAAGGGATTGCTGTAAACAAACCCTCATATACGTTCTGTGTACGGAATATAATCTCACACACACAAACACAGCCCCACGGTGGTGTCACACATTCTCCTTTTACATAACGGCGGTTCCACTTGGCCTGTCGCCACGCTGGTCCACGACAACTCAGTGTGATAATCAATTAGCTGATTAGACCGCGACAGTGCCGTGTGAGACTGGATTCAGCTGCGGTAGGGCGATTGTGGTGTTGGGTTTGAACCTCTGCAGGAGGGCTTTCTGTGCAGGTTGTACATGCCTCCGATGCAGCCTAAAATGCTGGATCAAGGTATTGGAAGGCATGCAAGTCTCCGCACCGATCTGATATCAAGGCATGATATCATTTACCAGCAACATCAACAACAAAGCGTGTCACTCGCTACCCGATTCCCACATCCTGCCCGATCCCCCCCCCCCCCCCGTCTGGACAACGCTGTGTTAGTGACCTGTCAATCACAAGCTAGCCCCGCCCTAAAGGATACCCTGCTTCATGGTCTGTTTGACTCTAAATGGACCATAATTTACTAAATGAACATCATGCTGTATTGAAGAAGACTTGAAACTAGAGATTGAGACCATAAACTCATGTTTACAATGTTTACTGAGGTAATAAATCAAGAGAGAAGTAGAGTAATTTTCTCATAGACTTCTACACAACCAGAGGAGTCGCCCCCTAATGTCCTCTAGGAAGAATGCAGGTTTAAGGCTCTTCATTATCGGCTTCACTTTTCAGAACCGCTTGATCCTCCCTCGCACAGTAGAACAGATACTATCAACACACCGGCTCTGTCACTCTCTTCTTGTATTTCTTCTTCAGTCACATTGTTCATCCATCTCAGTTGAGTGGCTGCATTCTTACTCTTCTTTATCCCTCAGCCTCGACCAGAGACTGCGTACAGCTCTGACCTCCATTTTAGATGTTTTTCTCTCCCCACTTTCTTTCGTAATTCATAATATTTTGTACATTGTTACAGTAGAGTAGATAGACTTTTAGCTTTTATGGGATATTCTTAACTTATAGTATACTGTATGTATTGTTTATTTAGCATCTAATTCTTATTAAATGTGGTTTTATTTAGTATCTGTTTTATTTATTATGATATACTTGTGTACTTTTTTTCACTTTCCTTGAACATCTCTCTGTACTTTGACCTATGTCCTACCTCCACCCTCCCTCCTGTTCTTCTTAATCGACTGTAGGATCACAGTCGTTCCCCTATCAGCCTAATTACCGCCAAGAAATGTAAACGACATTATACAACAGTAGCGCCGGGCCTCATTCTGCTCCACACAGAGGCGGTGTAAGGAAGGATTAACAAACTAAAACAGGGAACTGTCATTATTTGTGATATTAAATTGTCTTTTCGAACAGAGTGATGGTGGGGAAGAAGTGCAGAGGGTTTGGTAAGAAATGAGTGAAGTAAGGAACAGGACAGATTACAGAGGAAGAGATATAATTGGTGAACATCAGAGGCAGCAGAGATGGCCAGAAACAAGCCTGGTGCATTAATGAACCTTTGTTCTCTTGTGCTTAGGCCAAAGAGAGACTGACGGAACCGACACAGAAAGATAGACGGACAGATAGAGAGAAAAGCAGACATGGACAGGGATGCTCAGAGTCAGTGTGGTCGTACAGACGAGGGAGATGAGGTGGAGGGCCAAGCTGCTACTTTAAGGGCCCTTTCAGACCACTTTGTAACTTGTTTTAACATATCTATCTGAAAGAAGCATGTGCTGTGACATAGCTACAGTCTGACATGTACCAACAGTGTCTGATTTGATGAAGCAATCATACATTGAAAGTATTCTCAATTCTCGCCACTTCGAAAAATCGAAAATTTCGAAATTGGATCTAAAATTGCACTACATTTTATTTGTGTCTGTTAACTGTCCTTGCTGCAAAAGCTGACAGGGATTGAGTGCAGGGTTTAACATTCATGGTGGCGATGTTCTTTATTTTTCTTATTGCCAACAAATCTCATGAAAAGACAAAAACCAACAAAGTGTTTGTCCATCTCAATCATTTCTGACATCACTACCCTTTCTGTGGCACTCAGCCACAAGAACATTTATTTCTAATGATCCAAATCTTTAAAAATATGTCACACATATATATAGTTTCATTTCAAAAAGGCTCATATTTCCTAAACAGCTGGGTCCTGTAATTTTAGCAAATGTTAGTCAAACAGGAGAAAATCTGGAATTTGTTGGGGACTATTTTCTGGATTGGATTAATCCACATTTGGTGCTCTGGTGAGTGTTTGTGGCAGCAGGACGGTGTGTGTGAGATTGAGTCAAAATAAACCACAATGTGAACATGTCACCCAGTGCAACCGTCAGGCGTGTTGATGGGTTTTTAATAGTGTCTGGACAACAATGGAGCTCTATGGCACAGAGGAAGAAGATAAATACACAGACAGTGCATGTTAGTTCATCAATCCATTGTTGGTCCTCTCATGGGCGTTGTTTGCAATAACAAAAATAATAGAAAATAATCAGTCTCATATTCTGTT